CTCCCCAGGTCTAATACACTTCTTATTTAATAGACAAAATCTCACACCTGTAAACCTAGCACTCTGGCAGGCCTAGGTGGGTGGATGGCCTGAGCTCAAGGGTTAGAGACCAGCCTGAGCAAGAGTGAGACCCTGTCTCTAAAAATAGCTGGGCCTTGTGGTGGGTGCCTGTAGTCCCGGCTACTTGGGAAGCTGAGGCCAGCGAATCGCTTGAGTCCAGGAGTCTGAGGTTGCTGTGAGCTATGACCTCACAATAGATGGATGAGCAGATCTCAGTTTTAAAGTTTTGCTTCATCCACATTTACACTTCCTTCTAAAAGCCCTTCTAATTAAGAATGTTAATGTCATAATTTTTTATTATAGTTTTCAAAAAAGTTGCTACTTAGAGCATAGAGTGACTCTTTAAAAATAATTATGGTATATTAGTCAATTGGGGTATGGGGAATGCATCTTAGGCAGCTGCTTTTTCTAGAAAAATACTATGAAATCTCTCTAGATCAGTGGTTCTCAAACTTCCTAATGCCGCAGTCCTTTAATACAGTTCCTGTGGGTCACAACCCACAGGTTGAGAACCGCTGCTCTAGATCAACAAGATACCGTCTTAGTATCAAGGCAAACTTCAAATGTTTTAAAGTAGTCTGAAAAAATTTTGAACATATGAGGGAAAACTCTACAAATGTTATTTACAATTTAAAAGGAATATTTTTCAGAGAGGAGAATAAACAAACCTTCATAGAAATGTGCATTTTTTTCCCAAATTGATATTAACTGCCTTAGACTAGACACATTTTTTTTTTTTTGGAAAGACAGTCTCACTATGTTGCCCTGGGTGGAGTGCCCTGGTGTCACAGCTCACAACAACCTCAAGCTCCTGGGCCCAAGCGATTCTCCTACCTCAGTCTCCCAAACGGGCTGGATCCAAACCCGCCAGCTCCAGTGTATGTGGCTGCACCCCAGCCGCTGAGCTACAGGTGCCAAGCCCAATTAGACACACTGTGGGCCAATCTCTCATCAGCCCTCAGGCAATACAAAAAATGTTTGCTTGTCTCCTCCATCAGACTCCTTGGGAGTTTTGTAGTGAATATTTTTCATAATCATAGCCCACAATAATTTAAATGATCTGTACATATTATTTTAGGAAGTTCCTGAACTTCCTTTTTATCAGCCTGTCTCCCAATGCATATGCACCTCCCTTACAGCTAGAAAGCAGAGCAGTGGCCCAAACTTGGCCAGTCGGACACATACAAATAACACTCTAGTCTGGAAGCATCCCAAGGAAGCAGGCTCTGCAGAACATCTCATTTGTTTGTCTGCATGTAGCTTTTGTAATCAAGCGGCGGTCAGTTCTGGCAGCAGCAGCCCGAATTTTAATCCGGCGGGGGTGGCGGCAGTGACCGCAGCTTTCTCCTCTCTCAGGTCACACCACTGTCTGGGTGTGGTCCTATAAGCAAAGTCTCGAAACTGGCTCCTATTCTGCAACACAACATGATTTTGTGAGTGACTTCATATATTTTAGTAAATTCCTTTTCTTCTTAAACTGGTCAGAGAAGATTCTGTGATTTGCAATTAAGGACTCTAACCAACCTCAGACAAGTAACATGACTTACTCCTGGTCATGTCCACAACTCCTGGTGGGAAATCAGAGGAGGTGATGTGTGGAAATGGTGCAGTGCAGTATCCTCTCGGGAGGCCACAGGATCTGCTTCCTGCCTTTTGGAGACCCAAAGACTTTTTTTTTTTTTTTTGAGACACAGTCTTACTTTGTTACCCTTGGTAGAGTGCTGAGGCATCATAGCTCACATCAACCTCAGACTCTGGGGCTCAAGTTATTCTCTTGCCTCAGCCTCCCAAGTAGTTGGGACTACAGGCGCCGGCCACATCACCTGGCCACTTTAGAGATGAGGTCTTGCTCTGGCTCAGGCTGGTCTCGAACCTGTGAGCTCAGGCAGTCCACCTACCCTGACCTCCCAGAATGTTGGGATTACAGGCGTGAGCCACTGCATTCGGCCAAGCCCAGAGACTATTATCAGCACCCAGAGTTCTGCAAGCATTTAAAGATAGATTTAAGATGGAGATGGATTATCTCAGTATGTTTGGGCTGCTATAACAAATGTCACGATTAAGTGGCTTACACAACGTTCATTTCTCTTAGTTCTAGAGCCTAGGAAGCCCCAGGTTGCCAGCAGATCTGGTGTCTGGTGAGGGCTGCTTCCTGTTTTGCTGTCTTCTCACTGTCTCTTCACATGGAAGAAAGATCTAGAAAGCTCTCTGAGGCCTTTTTTATTAAGGGCACTAATCCCACTCATGAAGGTATCACTTTCATGACCTAATCACCTCCCCCAAACCCCATTTCCTAATACCAGAGGGGGTCAGCACTTTAATATATGAGTGTTGGAGGACACAGGTGGTAAACTAAAATAAAATCCTAAGCTCCTCGGCCAATTTAATGGACCCACTCTTGGCCAAGAAGACCAAAAAAAAAAAAAAAACCCTTATGGAGGTGCCTGTAGCTCAAAGGAGTAGGGCACCAGCCCCATATGCTGGAAGTGGCGGGTTCAAACCCAGCCCCAGCCAAAAACTGAAAAAAAAAAAAAGAAAGAAAAGAAAAAAAAAACCCTTAAAAACGACTCCCTGGCCACAGAAGGAAAGGAGGTCTGACACACCTTATTATATACCCCCCTCCCTTTTGAAGTTAGGATATAACAACTGATCAACATTAATGTGCACAGAGATCTTAAGACTGACAAATCTGGTTCTTTGTGACTGTAAGTTACAAAATATTAACAGGACTTAAGGTCATGTGCATGGGTGAGGGAAAACTTAGCCTTTTGGCTGAAAGATCAATTCACAATTGAGGCAGATTAACAAGAGAAATGTTTATTTCCAAATATCATGCATATGGAGGGAACCACAAGAGTGATTACACAGCCTCTCAAAGATGGTCAAATACCTTCAGAGATGCCTTTTAGAAGGGAGGTGGAGAGTACAGCAGGTGGTTGACAGGGAGGATGAATGGGTGGAGGAAACAGTCTGACTTATAAATTAACCTGAGAGGCAGGTATTGTGTTTTAAATAATTTGAGGCACATCTTCTAGCATTTAGGGGAAAGAAAGGGTGCCCCTCCCCACTTTGATCTTTTCAACAGGTCAGTTTGGTTTTATGTAGATACAGGGAAAGCCCCTTCCAAATGCTGTCTGATCTAATTCAAATTATTCTTTATACCATGGAGTCAGAGTGTCACCTTGTTGAACCTCAGCTGAGAATGTGTGATTTGGACAACTTCAATCTTTCCCCACTCTGTCAATGTCCACAACTGTTGACTTTGGGGTAACAGGTACATTCTATCAGTTAGTGCATTTGCAAATATGGAACCTATGAATACTGAGATTGTAATATTATTTCATTTAATCCCCGTAACAGCCCTACAAGGCAGGAACTATTTTCACATATGAGAAAATGGATCAGAACATTGGGCTGACTTGCTCCAAATTCCACAAGCACAGAATGGTAAAGCAGGATTCCACACCAGGCCATAAGATGAGAGCCTACACTCTTAATCATTTCATTATTTCCATACAGCTATGCCTTGAATAAGCTATTTTTCAGGAAACTGATCTTGACTCATAGGGTACAATAAGTAAAAAAGCCCAGACTGCATCCTTAAACCATCAATATTATTTCCTAAAAATAAAATATCTTATACTTGGCAGTCCTCAGGTTACAAATGAGATGGGTTATGTAGGTTTGTTCCTAAGTTGAATTTGTATGTAAGTTGGAACAGGACATTTACCTACTACTTGGAATAGTGTCTGTTCGTAAGTGCAAGTTGGATGTTTGTAATTTGGGGACTGCCTGTACTCAAGTACAGGATGAACCATCAAAAACGGCCCTTTTTCTGTTCTGCTATTTTAGTTGAACACTGGCAATTTCACATGGTTCAATCTCATTTATCCTTGGAAAGCATTTTTTCCATTACTGAGGTGTCAGTTTGGTTTACCTCGTTCCATATGGAAAACTAAAATTACTATACTTGAAAAGGAAATCTGGAAACATTTATAGATGTACTTATGGGTTATTAAATAAAAGCATATAAGTTTATTATTTTACAGATTGTATCATCTATTTTTTCAACTTTTAAAGTAAAGGATGAAAGGATAAAATGTCGCACGGCATTATGAACAGACTAAATATTAACAATTTCTCCCTAAAATGGAGATGCTGAACTGTCTTATCAGAGGAAGTATATGACCTGCTTTGGGGGGGGGGGTGTCTTATAAATATTTTTTAATCTAGCTGACATTAAATAAAATCTCTACTAAAGGCAATGGGACAATGAGAGTCTTTGGGGTCCAAATTTTAATAGATTTTAGGGAAGAAACAGAGGAGCTGAAGTAGTAAAACAAAATAATAAGATACTTTTATTACTATCTCTCCAAACCTAAAAGCAAACGGAAGACCAAAACCTACCGCTTAATGACCTCGGAGTGGTACATCCAAGATTCTCGGGAGCCCATTCGGGACAGGCAGCTCTACTTTTTAATCGCCTTTCTTAAGTACGGTGGAGAATGACAGAGGAAAAGGTGCCACTTCCCCACCTGCCAGCGTTCGTTCCCCCAGCACCGGCCTGAGAGCAGCAAACACTCGCTGGGCGGCCCGCGCAGTGTGTACGAGAGCTACCTGCAGAGAGGGGCTGACGAGCCAGTCCTACGTGGGCCGGGTCAGCAGCCAGCGCGCACCTGCGGCACCGCAGACGCCGCCGGCTTCGCAGAGCCGACCTGCCCTGCTTCCCGGCGGGGGCCGGCCTGGCGCTGCTTCGGCGCCCGGCGCGGGGAAGCCCCGACAACCGTACCGTGTCCCTGCGCGCGACCGCTGCGAAAGGGACCGATACGCCGCCGCGCTTGCTCCCGGGTCTCGCACCTGGGAGGGCTGCCGGGAAGCCGACGCGCATGCGCACATCGCTACGGCGGCCGCTCGGGCTGCGAGACGCGCCGGAAGAGGGCCTGTCCGGACTTCCGGTTGGCTGTAGGTTCGAATTCCGGGTTTCTTGGCTGGCGCGAGGAACCGGCGCTGCCGCCCGGGGACTGGGCCATGGATAAGCTGCGGCGAGTCCTCAGCGGCCAGGACGACGAGGAGCAAGGACTGACCTCGCAGGTAGCGCGCTGCGCCTTCGCCCGGCCCCGGGGCTCGCCCGCCCGCCCGCCCGCCGGGCGGCAGTGAGGGTGGGCTGCAGCGGCGGGGGGCGGGCCGGAGGTGGCCTCCTCTGCTCCGCCAGTTGATTTCGGAGGGCGCTTCCCGCCTTTTGGGGAGAATTTGGGAACTTTCCAGTGTGTCATGGGGTCTGCATAAGTCCACTGTGAGCCGCATCCTGTCCGCTCCCCATTCGGCCTTCTGACTCAGGAGCCCACTTTACGGTTTGTCTCCCCCCTCCCAGATAACCCAGGCTCCTCCACTTGGGTTTCTGAGCCAGGTGTTGTTTCTGAACTCAGCCTTTTCAGTGCAAGTAGGTGTGCGGGAGTCTGTCCTGCGTGCTGTAGTAAGCTGAGATGTTACAGCTTGTTGCATACGTTTGCGTCTAGAGGTCAAGGTACCATGAGCGTCTGTGTGAGAAGGATCTTTTGGAAGCAGGAAGACTGGAGAAGAAACGGACAGGGCATACTGTGTTAAAAGGGAGTGAGCCGTGGTGAGAGAATTTTTTTTATAAAAGCCCTTGTGTCTGCACTTTACCCAAAGGACTTGATAAGGGTTACTTCTTCCAGCAAGAGGATTAAAAATAGCAGTGGAGCAGGAACTGCTTTATAAGTATCTTTTTAATTGAATGCTAGTAAATTCTTGTTGGCCTGTCACTGAACGTTTCAAGTTGAATTATACTACACAGGAATCTTTATTTCCTTTCATGACTTCCTTGTCATCAGGTTTATAAAAAGCACTTCTTGTGAGTGGAGTTCTGGGCTAGTGTCTAAGGGTTCAGAAAGACTGCAAGTATCTGCTATTGCTGAATTCCATAACTATAAAGAGTAACATCAGAAATGTCAGTAAGGCAGTGTGTGGTTTAACCACCTCATTTCATAATTGTGTTCCACTGAGGTTCTAGGTCTGTGTTGTACAACACACCATCAGGGCCACCTTTGGCCATTTAAGTTTAATTACAAGGGAATGAAATTTTTAAAATTCCTTAGTTGTACCAGCCACATTTCAAGTTTCAGTAGCCACATGTGGGTGATGGCTGCTGTATTGAACAGTGTATACATAGAACATTTCCATCATGGTAGGTTCTGTTGCAAAGTTTTGGTCTGATCCTTGGAGGCATGAAGATGGTATTACCCTTTTTATTGGGACCACTATCTGGAGGGAAGAAAGATAAGTAGAGAAGTAATTGACCAAAGATCAGAGTGACTGGTATTGGCAAGTGCTGTGAGTTCAGAAGAGGTAATCATTTATCAAATATTCCAGTACCTACATAGGTTTGGCACTGTTCAGGATGCTAATGATGAACACAAAGACCTCCCCTACATGCAACTTTCTTTTCAATTGGAGGACACAATAAACAAGTATACAATGTCTCAGATGGCGCTAAGAAATGTCATGAAAAAATTTAAGTTGAGGAGATGGGAACTTCCTGGCTCATAGGTGATACCTTCTGGCTATGCCCTCACATGGTGGCCTCTTTTATGAAGACACTAATGCCACTCATGAGGGCTTCAACATAAGATTTCTCGGAGGACACAGACCCTCAGTACATAACATTCTGCTTTGAGCTTTGCACTCAGACACAGTATCATGTGGTTGTGATGTGGGCTGGGCACTGGGTTAACCCTGGGCTGTTACTGTGGCAGAAGCAGCGTGTGGATCAGCATATTGACGACTGCACGGCACACAGAGCTGTCTGCAGACCCAGCTCAGGTTCTCCCTCTTACTCATCTGGAGGCCACTCACACAGCACACTTGTGCTGGGGACTGCCCCCCCCCCATCTCATAACCACTTCTGCTTCCTGAGGGACCACTGCTGGGCACAACAGCTTCTTGGCTGTTGAGTCAGGTAGCACTCTTTTGTAAGTAGGTCACGTGGGGGTCCTGGGACCTGGCCTGCTGAGTCCAGCTGCAGAGGTGAGTTCTTGCTCTTGAATGAGTCAGTTCTAGAGAAAATAGGTTGTTCTGAAGTGAGGCTCCTCCTCCTGTCTGGTCTGTTTTGGACACGCCCCATTTGCCTTTCTGCTTTCCCACCATGTCTGGTGCATGGCTCTCAGGAGGAGCTGAGCAGGGCCAGCGCCCCACAGCATGGACTTTCCTGCCACCCGAATCAAGAGCTGAATCAACTGCTTTTCTTGGTAAACCCCCAGCTTCAGGTATCCTGTTACATAGCAATGAACAGGTTAAGACGTGCTGCTGGAGGGCTGGCTCCTCCAGGGTGGGGCGCTGCTGGCCGATGCTGAATCTCTAGTTCTTAGACAGTGGCAGGCATTAGTAAGTGCTCAGTAAATATTTTCTGAGTTACTGAATTTCTGCCATGAGGGGATCACCTCGTTTAGTGTAACTGGGTTTCTACAGAGATCATCACCTGGTCGTGCTACTGTGCACACAGCTAAGGCGATGTATTTTAGTTCTGGCTGCTGGGACAGAACACCACAGACTGGCGGCTTCAACAACAGACATTCATTCTGCACGGTTCTGGGGCCGGAATCTGAGATGGGGTGCCCTCACAGTCAGGGTCCTGGTGTGTGTCCTCCTGCCAGTTTCTCATTGTTTCCTCAGCAGGGAGCTTCAGTCTTTTCCTCCTCTTCCTAGGGCACTAATCCTACTGGTGAGGGCTCCACCCTCATGACCAGGTGTCCTCATGCAGCCCGCCTAGGACATTTATCCTGCCCGCTGGGTGTTTTTGCCGCCACTGCACGTCCTACTTAGCAGCCAACTCATCCTGGGGCCTGCAGTCTGGCCCTCCAACGGTCTGAGGGACAGTGAACTGGCCCCCTGTTTAAAAAGTTTGAGGATCCCTGCTCATGACCTTCCAAAGGACCCACCTCCTAATGCCATGACCTTGGGGTGAGGATTTGGAACATATGAATTTGGGGCTGAGGGCATAAGTATTTGGACCATAGCCCAAGGTTTGAGACAACTCATTTTTCTATTGATCCACTATTCCATATTTACAAGTGGAAATAATTGATCATAATGTTTCACTTTAAATATTCTCACATGGAAGATGGTAACGAGAAAAATACCTAACAATATACAAATCAAGCACACTCTCTGCTTTCCTCACTTAAAAGATTGATTGCAAGTGTGATACCCACCTGCTCTGCCTCCTTCCCTGTGCCTATCCTGGGCGTGAAGGAGGTTGTTAGGGACAGAGTATAGAGAAGGATGAGGAGGAAACTTTGATGTCCTGGGAGAGGGACCAGAAGCTGCAGAGGAGACCCCAGGAGGAGCAGCAGGGACAGAAGGTAAGGTACTAACTAGGCAGCAGTGTGGGAGGAGTGAAGGGGAGAGAGTGTCGCCAAAGAGGGGAGCACGGCAGTTCATGATGCTGTTGAGATAGAAAGTCCCAAGAATGTCCCTTGAATTGAAGGATGGGGAAGTGACTTCTGTTTCTGCAGCAACTGAGTCAGGTGAAAGGTGAAGCTAGGATGGTGGAGGTGACAGGCGAGCTTCCCAGCTGTGCCCAGCCTGAGGAGGCCCTCCCCCATGGCCTCAGGGGAGCCCTGGGAGGCAGGCACCCCTGGGAATGAAATCTGTGAAAGGCACAGGGGCCGAGGAGCCTGAGACCTTGACTGCCCCTCTCTGAGTTAGGGTTAGGGTTAGGCAGTGCTCTGAGCCCTGGGGGTGGGGGGCATGGGTAGTAGCTTCTCTCTGAGGCCAGCCAGGTTTGCCGCTAATCACCCATGTCAGGACTAGAAGTCACACAGTGTCTCCCCCAAATTCATATGTTGAAGCTTAGTCACCAGCTGATAGTGATAATAGTGAGGCCTTCGGGGCATGAGTGGGAATGAAATTAGCACCCTTATAAAGGAGTCCCCAGAAATACCATCTCCTCTTCCCTGTGCTGTGCAAAGACTCAGCAAGAAGCCTTAGCTGGGACCCAGAGAGTGGCCCCCACCATACATGGCGTGTGCAGGCACTTCTGGAACTGTGAACCTTCCTAATGTGAGAGCTGCTCGATCTGCATCATGTTCGTGACAGCGGCAGGCAGGTGGATTTATCCTAAGCCAGGCGCCTGGGTACTGGGGCAGGTGCAGGCAGTGCCCACAGGCTGGTGCTGAGCAGTCACCACGAGGGAGGGAGGGAGGGAGGGAGTGGGGGCACGGGCACAGTCGGGCCAGCTTAAGACTGTGTAAGGTTGAAGTTATAGATGTGGTCTCACTGGGGGGCGGGGCAGGAAAGTGGAGGCCAAACCAAGGTCTGGTCTGAAGGCCAGGGGAGTTCTTGGCTTAGCACAGGGAAGAATCCTGACAGTAAAACAAAAGCAAGTTTCTTGAAGGAACGAGAAACAGAAGGCTGCCACTGGGCAGGGCAGGGCAGGGCAGGGCAGGCTCTCAGAGCAGCAGAGAGAGCCTTGGTGAGTGTGTCTTAGTTTCCACCTTCCATTTAATTTTGTTAAAGGTGTAGGGGACTCCTCTGTGGCACCTGTGAACTGTCAGGGTTAAAGGGAGGTTCTTTCAGTGGCTGATGGTTGCTGTCAGCTAAGGAGCAGTGAGGGTGACTAGAGGGCATTTGTCAGGGCATCCTGGGTCCCAGATGGTTCTGGCCAGCTTCCCCTTTTTGTTCCATCTGTCAGAGACAGATAGCTCTTAAAACTCTTCAAGCAAAGCTTTCTGTTTCCTGTCTCAGTGGAAAAACCTGATAGTGTGAATTCCCCCCACACCCTCAGAGACAGGTCTGAAGCACCTGGACAAGTTGACCTTAGTTCAAAGGGGAGGATCCCATCTGTGGCACCCAGAGGAAGGACTGGGGGGGTGCGTGTTATTGCCAGGGGTATCTGGCAGTTTGGTGGCAGCAGGAAAGCTAGGGAGTTCCCACTGATAGCTTTGGTTCTCGTGTGAACGGGAGGGTGTCTGCGAAGTGTGGAAGTGTTGGGGCAGGAAGCAGAAATTTGGAGTTGGTTACAGTAAGGATAAAGGTGCCGGACCAAGAGGAAGGAGCTTGATTCATGGTGGGATTTTGCCCGATGGTTGCAGCACTGTTCTGTGTACTAATAATGTCCACTGAAAATGAAAGGAGAGGGACTGTTGTGGGGCCAGGAGCCCCGGGGTGGAGGCTGCGGGTCAGCCGCTGTCAGGAGCCATGGCTGCACTTTGGAGATGGGGTGATTGGGCAGTAAGAGCGCCCTGTGGTGGAGGGGACAGGCTGCCAGAGAAGGGCGGAGAAGCAGAAAGGCCAGACTGCCCACATGGTGGTGGTAATCACACAGGTGCTGCCAGGGTCCAGGTGGGCCTGTGCTGGGAGCAATGTGTGAAGGGAGAGCAGACACCCACAGGACGTGGGGGCAGGGCCGGGGCAGCTCTGCCTGGATGGCCCTGTGGAGCCCCCAGGGCCTGTTTCTTTTTATCACTTGTCTACTCAGCTTTCACTGCTGTTTTCAAGAAGGAATTAGGGGAGCCCTCAAGTCAGCACATCTGTAAAGGAAAGCCACAGCTAGCTTCCTCTACTCGGGGCTGCAGCCTGGGAGCAGGTTCCTGGACCTGCCGGCTATTCTGGCCTGCGGCTCTGTTCTCTGCTTCTCCATCACCAGCCACGCTGTGAGCTACCTTCATCCATCCTCATGTTGTGGCTCTTAGGAATATGAGCGCTTCTGGTTGCTTTGTTTATTAAAGTTAATGAAGGCTGGTTGCAGGCACTGCCATTGTTGGTAGTGGCAAGAGGACAGCACTGAGAGTGAGGACAGTGGCCCCTATTTGGGGCCGCGTTTTCCTTCCACTTCCTCTTCCTTTGGTAACAAGTATAATAATTGCCAGCAATTTTGGCAGGAGGGGCTATGGGGGAATGGCAATTTTAAGTGTATTTCTTTTCTAAGACTAGATTTAAGAGAGAACAAAGTTGCTGGGCTTGGGGGGCTGTTCCTGATACTGGTAGGAAGAGAGTCACAGGTACGCTCCAGCTGAGGCTGCCTGGGCATGCAGGGCCCTCCTGCGTCCTGGCTAGAAGGGACACAGCCAGGTTTTCTCTCATGTCGAAGTATGGCAAGTTTTCCTAATTAGGAAACCTGCAAGACTCAGAAAGGCACTTCCCTATAGATTCAACATTCCACATTTACAAATGGAAATAACTTGTCATAATGTTTCATTTTAAAGATCATCCAGTGGACGATGGGAACAAGAGGAAGACCCACCACTGTACAAATAAGCATGCTGTTTCATGGCTCAGAGAAAATAAACTGGCCATTAAAAACCAACAACCGAACTTATGAACAGTGGGATGATTTAAACTTTATAAGAAAGTAAAAATGGGTACTGCTGCTTCTCTTCCCAAGTCCTTCTCCCACCATTGTGGACTCCCTTTAACCTTTAGAAATCATGATTAGTGTACGGTTTTTGTTTTTTAATTGACAAGTAAAAATTGTACATACCTATGAGGTACAGCGTGGTGTTTCAGCGTATGTCTGCATTGTAGAATGGCTAAGTCAGACTGATAGCACATCTCCATTTTTTAAACAGATCACTTATTGTATAATGTAGTCTTTAGCATGTACCCTGTTCTATGCAGATAAAATGTACTTGATGCGAAAGTTTCCTGATCAGAACTAATGAAATTTATATGTTTTTATGGGCAAATTAATTCTTTGTTTAAAATCAAGTGATCAGCTTTGCTATGAACAGATGATATTGCTGGAAACAAGAAAGTGAATTAAAGCACATTTTTAAAAACATTTAAAATATGTTAAAAAGTGATATGTTTTATTGACAGAATATTTAGTTATTTTTGTCTACTTTTCATGCTACCTAAGGACTCACAGGCTAATCTGTCAAGGTAAGGAATGCAACCAAAGGTATTTGAGCCATTGAGTGTACACGTCTCTCTCTTTGTTTACTTATTAAAAACTACATTATAAACATGACATACACTTATTTTTAAGTATATATGGTAGTGTAAGTGACAAATTTAAATTTTGGAATATAAATCCTTATTGTGTATTTCTAGTTTCTTCAAACAGCTGTTGCTGATACTTTTTCAGCCTCATTGAGAAATATGTTTTAACATTGTACTTAATAATCTAAATGCGTTTACTTAATCATTACTGCATGCTGGATTATCATACTGTATAAAATATGCGTAATAATTTCTGCTTTTCCCCACATAATTTGGGTATAATTTGCATGGCATATATGACTTTTGTTGCTATAGAATGAATTATCATCTTAAAAAATGTGTCTTAACAATGGTTTGACAATACCCAAGACTTCTATGAGTTGGATATAAGTGAACGTTTTGTAGTGAGATTGTGGAATGTGTGCCTGATGGACTTCAGCCAGTTTCCTCTGTTAGGTGGGCTGGCACCCTCCAGCTGCTGGACGCTAAGTGCTGTGCCCTGCTATGCACCTGATTCCATCCAAGCCTACAGAGTGACCAGTGGGTTCCAGAAGGCCAGACCTGCCTCATAGCAGGACTTGTGCTGTTTTGCAATCCACACTGCAGCCCCAGCTGCACGACAGTTGACACCACATCCTTACTGGGTCCCTTCTGCTTTTTTACCCAGCTTGCCTTGCTTCCTTAAAGGATTTTGCTGAGAACAGTTCCTGCCTAACTATCCCCACCTATGGCACTAACCAAATATGCCCCAAGATCTACAGAGTTGGAGAGAATGTGTCGTGAACCCTGTGTGCCCTCGCCAGCCTCAGCGGTTACCAGTATTTTGCCTGGCTTGTTTCACCTGTTCCATACTATTTTTTTATTCCCTGTGTATTTTATAATATATCATGTACGATGTCATTTTGTCCTTATCAGTATGCGTCTGCTGGGTTTTAGTGAAACATAAAATTATCAGGCTTAAGTTATTCTTCAATATCATGTGATTCCTAGACTGTGTTTATACTTGCCTTAACAACCATGGAATCTTAATATTCTGCAGTGATACTACAGTATGTAAAATGATACGCAGATTCAGAGTGTATATTGAAACTTCGTTTTAATTTAGTACAAAGACTCAGATTGGTGGCTGGTGATTTAAGAGCATATTCTGAATTCTCCCATTCCTCTCCAAGGTCCTGGACGCCTCGTCCCTTAGCTTCAACACCAGGTTGAAGTGGTTTGCCATCTGCTTTGTCTGCGGCATCTTTTTTTCTATGCTTGTGAGTCAAGGCTTCCTGTTGCTTATTTTTTATTTTGTATTAGACTAGTAATCCCATTTAGTACCAACAAGCAGTCTGCTTTATCTCAATCCCTGTTTTACTTTTGATGAATGTATAGTAGAACCTCTGTAAGTTGACCACCTAAGGGACTGTAGCAAAGCGGTCAGCATAAGGAGCCAGGCCTGCCATACTGATAGGTATGTCCAGTCTATAAGAATTAGGTTACCTCAAGGAGGTGGGCAGTGCAGGGAGGTGGGCAACTATGAGGGTCCACAGTATTTAGTAATGTGAAGTAAAGCATAGAATCAATAAAATGGTGTATAAGTTAATAATTTAGGGAGTTTTACAGAATGCTGAAATAATTTTATTTGAGAAAAATCAATGTATATTAAGAGAGCTTGTGAGTTAATAATTTAGATGTTTTTATTACCTTTTCTAACTTACCCTTTTATATGAATATTTAATTAATATAGAGTGAGATTTACTGACAAGTACAAGTTTTCTTATGACTCATTTATACATATGTAAACAGGGAGAAGATTCAAATGAGCATATAACATTGAAAATTAGCTGATTCTGTTTTCTGTGTCATTAGAGACTAGATCCAAGCACATTCATATTTAAGTACTGTATTATTACATAATGTTTGTATGACTGCTATAGTAGCACATTTATATTTTTAGCTATTAAAATTATACAATTATTTTTACATAACTATACTATCTTAACTTAGGGAACTGGATTGCTGTGGCTTCCAGGTGGCATAAAGCTTTTTGCAGTGTTCTATACCCTTGGAAATCTTTCTGCATTAGCCAGGTATGTATGTAAGTTTGGCATCTCAAAGTAGCTTGTTTGCTACTTCGTTGCAACCAAATGTCTTTCTAATAAGCACTTTCCTCATAGGATGCGTTTTTGTAGCTCTGCACAGACTGTAAATTCAGACACAAAATTTATGTTAATTTGGTAAATATTTATTGACTTTGCTATATGCTGGCTCCCATGATAGAATGTCATTGATAAGAAAAGCCAACATTTGGGGGCATTTACTGTATACCACAGATTATTCTAAATATTTACATGTCATTGATAAGAAAAGGCAACATTTGGGGGCATTTACTGTATACCACAGACTATTCTAAATATTTACATGTATTACAGCAAATTTATGGGGTAGATACTGTTAGTTCCTGCTTAGTAGCTAGCTGGAGAGAGCAGTCCAGAGCAGTGGGTCACTGGTCCAGGGTGATGCCCCAGCTGGCTGGGGCAGGACTCCAGCAGACTGTGACTCCAGAGCCAAGACTTACAGGTCCTGCGCTCTAGTCCTGGTTTTCGCGGGGTTAATGTAATGAGAGAAACAGCCAGATAATAAGCCAGAAAAAGATCTGATGGTGGTGGTGCTGACAAAGGTTAAACAGGATGAGACCGTGGCTACTTCAGCCTGGGTGTTTGGGAATTTTTGGCGTGTCTTTTGATACACTGTCATGGTCCATTTTGTGCTTCTGTAACAGAGTGTCACAGATTAGGCAGCTTAGAAAGAAGAGAAATTTATTTCTCACGGTTCTGGAGCCTGGGAGGTCCAAGACCAAGGCACGCAGAGGTTGGGTGTCTGTTGAGGACGGCATCCCACAGAGGGAGGCAGGATGCCGCATTGGCGGTGCCAGAGGAGGGGAGAGCTTCCTCCTGTGAAGCCTCTTCGGTGATAGTCTTGGTCCATTTCACGAGGGAGGAGCCCTCTTAACACTGGCACATTGACAACGCCTCAATTTGGGGGGCACCACATTTGAACCACAGCATGTCTGCTGACATAGTCATAACTGGTTTTATTTTTTTTTAATTAAGGAAAAAAGCAAAACATTTATTATTTTTATTAAATAAACTAACATAGAGGTTCTTTTTTTGAAAGCCCATGATTTTATATAGCTAGACAAATTAGTATGCCCACCTCAGTTATTTTATTTGTTTCAAATAGCACATGCTTTTTAATGGGACCCTTGAAGCAACTGAAGAAAATGTTTGAGACAACAAGATTGCTTGCAACAATTATTATGCTTGTAAGTAAAGAAAATTTTTAAAAATTTATTAAAGTATTTTTTGCATTATTATTTCATGAATAATTGCCTGCTCTTACGTATGGACTATGTCCAGTGTCTCTTATTGAATGTAATAACTAACTATATCCTCAAGGCTGTGCAATGAAGAGTTTAGATTGTACAGTATTATCTAAAATTATTGGTTGGGCAAAGCCTGCTTTCTGTCGCATCTGTCTAACACTGTAGCTGTGTGTATTTAAAATGACATCAGAGCTGGATGTATTTTTATTTTTAAGCCCTACAGGTTGTTTCCTAACAGATTGTCCTACCTTTTGGAGGGTAGGAATAGAATGTAGGTTGCTTCCGTGTCCGTTTGGACCTTCTCAGGGACAGCTGAGTGATTTGTCATCTGGCTTTTGTCCCTTCCCAGTTTGCCTCCTTGACAAGTAATCCTGCCAGTGTGGCGTCCGTGACAGTGCCTTTGAGTGCACCATTCATTACTTTGTGTGTTCTGTTCGTGACCCCGGCTCTTCACTCTTAAATTAAGTGGTCTCTTTATCATGAGCCTGGAGAACGTGAGAGTTCACACCTGTCTCCCTCCTCCTGCCCTGTGGGTGTTTATCAGATCAGGGGGCCTATAGCCCCTCTCCACTGGGGCTTCTGGCTCCTGACTCATTTCCTTGTGTCTCTTGTAGATCTCCTTTGCCTTATTTATGATATTCAAAGAATTTAAATATCACCACTAACTGATGAGTTTTTACTTATGGCTATTAATATTAGCTTTACAAACACAGCTAACCTATGTCAATTTATAAGAAATGTTTGTTAACTCTAATCTGCCTGACAGTCTTTTCGCGTCTCCTCAACAGAGAAAAACTCATTTTAGCTTAATTTTTTAGTGTCTCTATTCAACTGTATAATTTATGCCATTTTTTAGAACTCTTCCAGTTATTTTGAAATTGCAATATCAGTATGTATAGCAACATATATTTTAGGATTTAACTTTACCTAGATTTCTAAGAAATTATCCTTTACTGTTAGATTATAAGTTTATATTTCACTAAGATTTTACTTAGATTTGTTTTATTTAAAATGTCTGTACACGTATCACTTAACCTTTACTTACTTACTTGCATCAAGAGAATGCAGAAACATTTGCACATCTGACATATTTCCCTAGTGGAGTGGGAACTGTGTCAGATATTTTGTTTGTTTGTTTGATTTGCTGCTCACCTGAGATCATGCCTTGTAATGGTGGTAAAGAAGCTCTCCTACGTTCTCAGCACCTTCCTGTGCCGTCCCCTAACTCAAGCACGTTGCAGACATGCATTCACTACAACAGCCCTATAAAGCAGATAGAAACTCCTCATTTTAAAGAACAAGAAATAACAGGACTAAATAAATTGACTCTCAGGTAACAGACATCAGCCAGGCTCTTGTTGGGTCTTTGTAACTCCAAACCCACTTCTCATGGTCACTCCTGTACCTGCTTCTGCCAACACAGGTGAAGGGTGGGTGGAGTTGCTTTTACAGGATGTGGAATATTGGTGTTCCCCGGAGCCCTCTGTTTGTTGACGCAGAGAAAGGAAACCGCAGACGGAATGATTGGCATCAAGGGAGGTTGAGGCTCATTATGGCACAACAAACCTGCCCAACTTTACTGATTATCTTATATACTCTCAAACATTCATGATCTTTCTGTATGAAAAACTGTTACAGGAGTATCATTACGTAAAGCTGAGTAACATTGCTGAGTATCTCTAGGGTCACCTTCGAAGTGCTTCCCTTGGGAAGCTGTGCACCCACACCAGCACCTCGTCCACCCTTCAAAGCAATTTTGGAACTCTTTTTCTGGAATGGCCATCAGAGCTGTTTGGCACACAAAAACACATAACAATGATAGTGAATGCCACTCAGCGGGACACCACCACATGCTGACACAAACACAGCTGTGTGACACTGATACACCAAAGTTATGAAACCTCAGCAAGTTGTTAGTACAGTGCTGCTGGTGTAAGTGCACAGTGTGAGTTCGTGAACTTAATTGTCAAGGCTTGGAAGATAATAGCTCTGATGACCATTCCAGAAAAAGAGTTCCAAACTTGCTTTGAAGAGTGGATTAGATTACGGTGTCAGTGCACAGCTTCCAAGGCAACAGTAGGATGATTTCACAGACTTAATTGCCAGGCAGGGTGACTCACACCTGTAATCCCAGCACTCTGGGAGGCCAATGCGGGACAATTGCTTGAGGTTGTGAATTTAAAACGAGCTTGAGCAAAAGCAAGACCCTATTGCTATTAAAAAAAAAAACAGAAAAACTAGCTGGGTGTAGTGTTAGGTGCTTGTAGTCCCAGCTACGTAGGACCCTGAAGGAGACTGAGGCAAGAGGATTGCTTGAGCATGGGAGTTTAAGGTTGCTGTGAGCTGTGATGACATTGTTGCACTGTAGCTCAGGTAAAAGTGTAAGACTCTGTTTCAAAAACCAAAACATAGTGAGTAGGGCACCAGCCCCATATGCAGGGCATTGTGGCAGGCACCTGTAGTCCCAGCTACTCGGGAGGCTAAGGCAAGAGAATTACCTAAGCCCAAGAGCTGGAGGTTGCTGTGAGCTGTGATACTACAGCACTCTACCGAGGATGACAAAGTGAGACTCTGTCTCTAAAAAAAAACCCAAAACATTCTCCAAATATTTTTTCAATTTACTTAGTCAATAATTGCCAAGGAATATTGCCATCATGGATTTTAAAATAATAATTGTGCAGCAGACAGGTAAAATCAGCCACGTTAGTCTCTTTGTTCTTCAGTATGTTACATGTGTGAGGGAAAGTGGAATAGCCACGCGGTTGTAAGAGGCCTTGGGAAGGATCTCACGTTTACAGTTTCCTCTCTTCCCTTATAGCTGTGTCTCGTGCTTACCCTGTGTGCTGCTCTTTGGGTAAGTACATCAGCCACCACAGCTTTGTGCTGGCACTCACCTCACCAGGTGAAGTGGCATCGCACCACTATCTCAAAATAGTTTGAAGTCTGCTTTGTAAAACCCTTCAAAGATTGGGTGTTCTCACCCAGCTAGTGTTTGCACAAGCATAGATCCTCCTGTCTGTGTAAACGTGTACACGCTTTGGGGCTGCTTGCCCAGGGTCTGTTCTCGCTGGCCACTGCTAGGTGGGGGCTGTGCAGTGGACCAGCAGGTGCATTGATGAGTAGCAAGGGGGTGAAACCAGGAGAGAAGCCCAGAAAACAAAAGAAATTGACCCAAAACAGACAAAAGCACCTAAACCACTTTTCTGCCACTTAAATAAGGTTAACAGCTTAGCCTTTAAAGAAGTCACATTATTACAATTTAGTTTACTGTCCGGTGTCCTCACCTCCTCGTTATATTTACTTACTGTGCTCTGTCTCCTTCCCAGAAGGGTTTTTGGCAGCTCTTGAGGTATCAACAAGTAAACATTTTTAAAAAGACAGGGTAGTGTAGAATAATCTTAGAAAAACAGCAGTCCCTCCACAGCTGCCCACCTCCTCGAGGTGACCTAATTCTTACAGACCAGACGGGCCTGTCAGTACGGCAGGCCTGGTTCCTTATGGTGACCACCTCTGTCTGTTGCCTAGTTTGTTTCAGTCCTTTGGGTGATCAACTTACAGAGATTCTACTGTATTCTATCAAAAGTGTTCTAATTCTCTTTTTTAGTTTTATGATGTAAAGACTGAACTTTAGTTACATGAGACTCACACCTTATTTCCCAATGATAAAAGAATATTTTAAAATAATTTTTGCATATCCCTATGGAATGATGATTTGTGATTTTGGAATTGTCTAGTAGATGGTTAATATATAAATAGTAGATTAAAAATGATAGCAAATAGATAAAAGTAAAAAATAAGATGAACAGGAATTCTTAAATTAGATCATTTCAAAACAGCCATGAAAACTGCTTATATTATTCTAGAAGATCACAATAAAATACAGTTTTCTTTAAAAAAAAAAAACTTAAAGGAGCAAGTAGGAATGAGTAAAATAAGTAAATGTCACATACAGTATAGATGTAACTAATTCGGGTTTTAAATATTGATTCTGGAAAAGTTATTGACTTTAAAGATAGAGCCTTTAAGAGCTTAGTGTTCTCAGCCCATATGCAGTTTCAGTGACATTTATGTAAAGGCATATATTTTGCAGCATTTAAATTAGTGGATACAGGTAGTTTTAAAAAGGAAATGTACTTTATGGATATTTGAATGTGAAATCAACTGTATCTTAAACTTATCAGAGAAAATTTAACAAAGAAAATAAATGGAGTTGTCATCTGCGTTTTTGAATAGGATGAATTAAATGTGATTGTGAAAAAGATTTTTTAAAATTCTAATAAACTCATTTATTCCTGTGTTTTTGCTGTTAGTGGCATAAGAAGGGTCTGGCCTTACTATTCTGCATATTGCAGTTTTTATCAATGACCTGGTAAGTCTCTTCTGTCACTTATTAAAACGTTACAATTGACTGAGGTGTGATAAGCGTTTTGTTAGCATCCTGTAAAGCCCAAGCATTTCCCCCGGAAGTTACACATGCTTTGGACCCAGCCCACCTGCAGGGTCAGCTGAGGGCAGTGAGTACTGGGGTGAGTCTGCTGGGCTTGGCCACATGCGCAGTGGTACCATTAGGGAGAGCTGTGGAGGGGGTGTCTCCCATGGGGGAGTGGGGTGCTGCGCCCCCACAGTTTACACAAAGATGCATCCCACCTTATATGACACGGGAAAGAAATGATAAGAAATACAAGGAATGCCACATGAATCTATAAAAGGTGAGGCCATGTCACAGGATGAGCCCAGGGGTGGGAGTTCACCTTGCATTCTGTATTCTATTGCTGGGTGATTACAAGGCGGAACTACTATGATGTGGACCTGTGGTATGTGGTGTTATCTTCTGAATTTCCAGTGACTAAATACTTGTTACATACTAGCTGAGCATCTGAAATCCAAAATGCTCCACAATCCAAAACTTTTTGAATGCTGACATGATGCTCTAAAGAAATATTCACTGGAGCATTTGGGATGCTTACTCAGTAAGTGTAGTGCAAACACTCCAAAGCATGTCTAGTCCCAGGCATTTCCCATCAGGACGTTCAGTGTGTGCTGCTTTTCTGGCTTTCCTCTCTCTCTGTCCCAAATATCCACTCATACCCTTGTTCCTGGTCAGACCCTCCCTGACCCTTGTGTATCTTGTGCTGCGTCTGCCTCACCACAGAAAAGGCCGTGTAATGGTCTGATGGGTTGAAGGCGCCCTGGCTCCTTGTGCGCTTCCATTTAGACAGTGAAGGGGTTTTCTTCCTTCTAGGAGTAAATGCCTTCCTGATTTTGCTGTTCTAAGTCCTATTTGATGTTACCCTGTCTGGGTCAGTCCCTCTCTTGGGCTTTTTCTCCCTTTCCGCTGACAGATGTAATGAGTGCGTTTTCCATGTAATTCCCTACTTATTTCAGATTAACCATATATATATATTTCTTTTTTTTTTTTACTTTTTTTCATGGAAATGTGAAGAAATTTAAGTTGAATCCCTTGGTTATTTTCTCTTATATTTTGCCCTTTATTGCTAATCTATACCTAATAATTGATTTATCCCTAAAGGAGAATATAATGTATTCTCATTTATTTTGCAGTTTCTATAAAAAATAAATTAAAAGAGTACTTATTATAAGAAGCTTTAACTTTAGCAGGCATCAGAATCACCTAGAAATTTGTTGAAATGTAGATAACTCATTACAATAATCCTGTGGTTCAGGCAGCCTTGGCTGGGGCCTAATTGCATTTTTAGTAACTTTACAGGTAATGCTGTTGCCACAGGGGTGGAGCCCCACTTTGAGAACCACTGTACTGTATTACGCTGCTATATTTATTGTAATGTTAGATATGGCTATTTGGTGTAAAGAAAACCATCCTTCGGATACATGTCAATACTCCTGAATTTTTCTTGCAGGTATAGCCTATCATACATCCCATACGCCAGGTAAGTTTGTTTGAGTTATATTTTCTAGTCCTTTGGTTATCTTCACACATGAATGTAAATAATCTTTACATTAAAATAATATTTAAAAGCTTTTTTTGGTTGACTTTGACTTTTTCTAAAAGGAAATAAATGGTTTTCAACAAGGTAATAGCTTGCCGTACACCGTGTATACAGGGAAACATCCTGAATCTCTCTAACAGCTGAGGTAGCAGCCTGCTCCTGCCTTGCCCCCCAACATCTGCAGCCTCGGGTAGCAGCCTGCTCCTGCCTTAACCCCCAAAATCTGCAGCCTCGGGTAGCAGCCTGCTCCTGCCTTACCCCCCAAAAATCTGCAGCCTCGGGTAGCAGCCTGCTCCTGCCTTACCCCCCAAAATCTGCAGCCTCGGGTAGCAGCCTGCTCCTGCCTTACCCCCCAAAATCTGCAGCCTCGGGTAGCAGCCTGCTCCTGCTTTACCCCT